GCGCATATTGTAATGAAATCAAAACCGAACATGATACATCAATGAAACCTATGTATACCAGACAGGTATGGAAATATTTTTTTTTTCTAAGAAAAAAAAAATTATGAATATTCATCAAATATGCAAATTAGGTAATTTCAGCTAATTTTATATATATATATATATATAGGAAAGTCAAACTGTTCATTTTTTGGCATTTATTTAAAGCATAATATTTATAGATCATATTTACACCAAAATATTAACATTAAATTCCAAATATTTTTGCAATGCCAATAAAATATGGCGATGGAAATTACTTGGATCACCGTTACAGCTATTTCCTCATATGTTTCAGAAATTATTCAGAAAAACCAAACAAATGATAAGAATCTGCAGACTACATCGCAGTATAGTTTCTTTAAAAAAATGTCAGATTTGAGGATTTATGACGATTTTCCGAGAAACCATTTAATTCAACAGGCCATAACATTCCACAGGGACTGAATTTCAGAAAAAAGGAAAATTTGACGACCACAGTACAGTTGTGGCTACCTTGAGTGTAAATAACAAATTGATTCAATGAGTGAAACACATGAGGATATTGCATTTTTGTAGGGGAGTTTTATACATTGACGTGCATTTTCACCACGCAGAATAACAGTCAATGGGCGATCAGCGGGCCATGTCACACATGGCTTAAAAGACAATATTCTAATTAATAATTTAACAAATTTCCCACATGTCTATAACAATGAAACTAAACAGAATTGTAGTTAAAGGTATGCTCGAAAGATATGTGAAATAAAAAATAAAAAATAATGTTCAGTTTGTTTAAAATAAATTGACGAAAATTGTTATTTCTACCAACTGACTGCTGTTGTGTGTATGTATGTGCATGGGGCAGACTGTGTGCACAGGCAGTGTGATCACCCTACTAATACAGCACATTGGGATTTGCCGAGAAGCATCTGATTTTGCCGTAGCAGGGGCGTGGGGGACGGGGGACACGTCCCCCCTCAATTTTGTTTAGGGGAGATTGCCCCCCCCCCCCCGAATAATTTGAAAAGTGCAGAAAGAAAGTGTATAGCAAATACTGACTAAAGACTGCAACAAACTTTTAGGCTCTGGAGGGCCCAAGAATTTTTAGACAAATAAAAATCCAAAAATCTTGTCGCTCGGTATAACATCCTTTAAAGTCTATGAATAAATATTGTAGGAAAGTGAAGTGTGAAAGTATTTTACTTGTTTTTATACTATATGTTTGCTAAGGGATGTAATTTTTTAATACAACAAATCTTCAAAAACCTATGAGGGGTAGTCAGCTCCGTCACCTTCACCCCTCTCGTACACTATGCTCCCTCGCACTGGCGTAATAAATGGGGGGGGGGGGGCTTGGGGGCAGTTGCCCCTAATAACATTCAAACGTGGCTTATTTCTAATTCGATACCAGTGATTTACAAATGTTGCTGAAATGGCATGGTTTTTCCCTGAGCTTCCAGGGGCTCTGCAATGCTCATCTGACACTAATTAAAAGCTTAAAAAACCTGAGCTTCCGGGGGCTCTACCCCCTGTATCCCACCAAGGGCCCTAAGACAGCCCCTGGATGTCATCTGATCGTAATTTTATGCCTAAAACCTCTTAGATTTAGGGGCCTACGCCCCCTTTACCCCACTCTAATAAGTGATCTTCATGCCAGTGTCACAAATAAGGTATCAAAATATGGTAATCCGACCGTAATTAAATGCCTAAAACCCCCGAGCTTCCGGGAGGTGCGCCCCCTGGACCCCACTAGGGGCGCTAAGGCGGGTCCCTGGATGCTCATCTGACCGTTATTAAATGCCTAAAACCCTTGACCGCCACCGGGGCTTTGCCACTGGACCCCACGCCAATTTACGCTCCACCAGCTTCGCTCGCTTTGCTCTACCTGGTCGTAAATACTTTAGCCCCCCTCCCACTTTGAAAAACGTTCCGCGGGGCCTGCACGTCACATGTAAGAGTGGGGGTGAGGCAGATTTTTTTTTTGCCCAACTTTTGTGCTCATTACGCCACTGCTCCCTCGTACCTTGCGTTTCGTCCTCCCCCCCCCCCCCCCCCACCGGTCATGAAAAGAAATAGCAGGCCCTTCATACATGATTGCCCCTGTGAGATACATTTTCCAGTTTTTTTATATTACTTTATATTTTTATTTTTGTAATGTGTTTTTGTTATGGTCTACCATTTCAAGGTGTGAAACAATCTTTCACTGACATGTTCCTGTCATTTTCCCGCTTCTATTTATCAAGCAAATTATTATCTGGATGTACTTCCCTTTTCCCGTTTTCCGTTTCGAGAGATGGCGGACAAAATAGATTAGTTCTCCAACTTCCTTCTATTCAATTATAGATTAGTTACTCAATATGTATTTCCTCTATAGGAAAAACCCACAATCAAAAGCAAAATGGTAATCTTCACGTCAATTTTAGATTTGGTCCCGATTTAACTACAATGAACACATGTTTCCGTTATTGATCTTGGCGAATAAACATCACTTTGTCTATATAAAAAAAGAAGTAAATAAACGTTGTTTCGAGTGGTAGATTGCAAACATGATTTGTTTTTCTTCTTTTGACTTCCTCAACGACTCAGGCAAGCCACACCTGGATAAAAGTTGCTGCACTATCACCCCTCTTGAAAACTTGCTCATCGGCCATTATTTTGTAGATTTCCTACAACAAAAAAACATACTACAGATAGAGTGGAATTATGAGGGTGGGGCACGCTACTGAAAGTAACTATTTTCATGACTAAATTCAAGAACCGACATAAAATAGAGCCAGACCAAAAGTCAAGATTCAGTTTACATAATTTATATTACAAAAAATAAGAGAAAACAAAATATGGACATGGACCTTCTAGCTTACGTTAATGTATTATTAAAGGGAAATCCAACCTTAGTAGACAACTATATCTATGAAAAAAAGCAGAAAAATCAGACAAGCAGACGGGTGACGGCGTTTAATGAAATTAGACAAAATACAATGTAGGAACAAAGTTATGAAGTTTTGATATCTGTATTCACTATAGAGCACTTCAATTTGGCAGAGTTGGTAATGTTGCTGTGACGTAGTGACCGACAAATTGAAAAACAGACAAACTTACGTAAATTGCATTTTCCCCCTCGAATTTATCGTATTGCTCTGGAGAGTCTGCTTCTTTTTGTATGATCTATAATAATGTCCTTTTTCGAGTAGTGCCCCAAGGAAGAAGGCACTTATTAAAGATCATATAAACAGACATTAATTATATTGTTTAACGCAACAAACGGAAGAGTTGCCCCCGACTACGTCACAATCCACTGACCACATTGGTAATATGAAATTCGCAAAGAATTATTGATCTCATATTTCAATCATAACTCTATGTTTCTCGTCCGATTTCTTTCAAACTTTCGCCTTTCTGTCTCTCTTATTTGTCTGCTTCCATACAAATGAACTTATTGCAAAGGTTTGATTGCCATTAATGTTTACCCCTCCACGGCTCCACCCCCTCTTTTCCTCTCTCTCTCCCTCTCTCTCTCTATCTCTCTCTCTCTCTCTCTCTCTCCTATACAAAACCAAGTAGATTACCTAATGTCAGGTACAAACGTAACAAGTGCACAACTAAAGTTTAAAGAAATTAAAAGAAAATGAAATTTTAAAAAAGGCTTGAAAAATTGCAGATAATAACAATACGGTGTAAAGGGGGAGGGCCGGAGGGGTGGCACATTTTGAGACGTGTGTTCTAAAGGTATGCCACTTTAGTTTCAAAGGGGGTGCATGGGCCGCTTGTATTTCCCTTTACGCCCATCACCTCCCTCTGAATGGTGCTTACGTTGGACAAGTGTCAAGCAATTATTAATGACCCTCGATCTAGTGAAACTCTTGCTCCCCTCCCCATTGGTTATGTTTCTGTTTCTGTTTCGGTTGCGTCGGTATACTCAGGGTTAACTGTACTTCACCAACGTTTTGATTTGTATGGTCTCATAATGCTAAGGCTTATTGAATAAAAGTAAAATAAAATTATTGAATGCCACCCATATAACAGAAATATCCCTCACCCACACCTTTTCTCTCTCTCTCTCTCTCTCTCTTTCTCTCTCCCCCCCTCTCTCTCTCTCTCTCTCTCTGAGTTATAGCCAATCACCCAATCATCACATAATCATTTGATGATTTTTAATGTAGCCCCCACCCCCCTCCGAAAAAAATTGATCCCGCGAGTGATTGCGCAAAGTACAATGTTCTGAGATTTATGGAGAGTTTCAAAAAACATGACATTCATCCGTTTTACATCTTCCGTGAAAGACATGCTTGGCAGGTATAATGTTTCCATATTCATTCCATATCCAACACGATCGACCTTTATTATTTTTGTTGTGGATGCCCGTTTCTCAGATTTCATCTTTTCCTTAATTGCTTCGACAAAATTATATTAGATTTACAGAATCAGAGTGCCTCTACCTCAATCTGTCGTCTAATAATGTTTTTGTTTTGTTCTATAAACAGGAATAACCGAAAATCCTCGTTACCAAATAAATCTAGGATGGATCAAGAATCCCTCACTGATACAGAAAAACAACTTAGAAATGGAGCCATTCCTAAACGCAAAAGCACGTCCAAACATGTCTTCGAGGACGGATGCATCACTAGAGAAAGTAGCCTTGATGGAAGGAAAGAAATTGATGTGCAAAGGTACGACGTCGATGCGAGTCAAAGATTGGACCGCATCAATGGTCTTTACAAATATGGTGAAAGTTCGAAACCTGGTGAGATTATTACCTCTAGCAGCATTGCTGATAGTGGCGTATTCATCGACGTGGCATTAAGCAATAAACTTGAAATGGAGAGCCTCCCGAGCCCGATTGCTCCACATGTTCACAGAATTGGAAGCGACGATTGGATTAACAACCAGGAGACTTTTGTCAATCCTGAATACATTAAACGCCGTCGTAGGGAAAGTGACAAAGAGGACAAGATTGAGACGAGTGCTGTCTTCTGTCGTTATGACTACTTGACTAGGGACACACAATTGATGGGTTTCAGGAAAGGTTCGAGGAGAAGTGAAGACAAAATGGGTGCCAATCAAAGACATGGAGTTCAAGTGGGGTATGGGAGTATTGGCGAGGAAGTCCGGAGGGGGTCCCCCGACAGAGGTAGATCTAAGGACGTGGATAGTGGTGAGATTTTCAAGACGGAATCTAGAATAAAGGTGGATCGACGTCATAGCCATAGGGAGGAAGAAGAGGAAGGAGGCATTGGGGATGGAGTACGACGTTCCACCAGACCGGAAACGCCTGGGCAAGCCGACGGAAAGCCTCGCGGACAGCCAAGATCACAAAGTGGCAGAATCGGAATGGGCAATGGTAGCAGGACCAGGAGTGACAGTAGTGGGTCATTAAAGAGACAGCGGAGTCGGGTGGAGACACAAGCTACGACAAACGGAATTATGAAAAAGTGGCCCCCGTTCCTCTGGATCATGTTCAAGTTCCTGGGATTGTTTTGGGCCAGACCTGTGATCAAGGAGAGGTATTGCCATCAGTGCTACCGTAAAAAACAGGAGGAAGAGCAGGTAATTATGATCTATCTGGTTAGGTGGTGATCCCGGGTGGTGATTATGTAAAGTACAAGTACAAAATGTCAAGTACAAGTACAACAAAACACGATAGCAATGACTTTCAAGAAATAAACTTGAGGGCAGGTCCCATACTCAATCGCATTGCCTACAGAAATCATGTTCAGATTATGCAATGCAATATTACATATTCTGTCAATGTCACGTTCATATATCTTAAAAATCGATGCCCAAGGCTATTGAAATTCCCCTGGCCTTACACTTTGAATGTCTTTGCAATTGTGTTGAAATTACTAGTTCAAATCATTTCATAATGGCATATATCTCTTAGCAATGCAACTTGGGTTACGTTTTCAAATCATTGTTACAGAATTGCTGTGCTAAATGCAAGCATTGTGCATCCATTATGTAGAAATTCAATGTCGATTTAAACCTTATCCCTTTCTGGACCATTAGAAACTCGTTCCCTCGAGACACTTCTCCTACCTCCATACGCCAGAGATCGGCATCGATGACTCGGACATTGTTGACAACCTTAGGCCATCTTACTTGTACCAGGAGCACAACGCTTCGGGATCAGGCGAATCGAATCCTTTGCTCATTGGCAACATCCAGGTCGACTACCGAGTCGTTAACGGTTCAGGATACTGCGTCAATGAACACACTCATGGTAACGAGGAGGAGGTGGAGAAGGAAAAGAGTGAGCGATGCAGGGTTTGTGATGCGTTGTGGTGGACTGGAAAGGGACAATACTTGAAGTACACCGACACATCAATTGGTGAGTGCATAGTAATTATGAACACCATCTCATTTTACAAACATATGTACAAATGAAGCATCATCACTTTTGTTCTATTGTTAACACAAGAGCCTTTCCAAGAAATCAAGTGAGCAACCAAAGATGGACATGGATATTGAAGTTGATTTCATTGAAAAATCTTGATATACCGGTAGTGTTCATTGCCCTGCCCTTGTAACTTTTCCTTGCCTCCTTAGTCTGCCGACTTCCCCCTCCCCCTTTTCCCCTTCTCACCTTTTCCCCTTCTCACCTTTTAACTACTGATATTGCAATATAATGTTGTACTTGAAATTATTCACAGAGCTATGTTATTGTTTAGTTATTTTTTTGTTTTTAAAAGAAACATTGTTTGAAGTCAATGTAAAGAAAACACATGTCCATTAATTTAACAGTGAATATTTACAATGATTTTACCTAATTCTCCCATTTTTTTCAATATTCACATGTATTTCTGAAGCTTGCTGCCCTAGACACATCGGTCATACTTGATTGATATATTGATTCCATTTTATCATAGCCAAAATAATACGGTCCTTTACCTTTAAATTATGGAGGAAATGGCATTCAAATTCCCAAGAAACTATATACGGATACTTTGTTTCAATGGGTGATGAAAACTGTCATAATGGCTTATTTATAGTTGTTTATTTCATTTAATGTTTCGATTATTATTAAACTACACCTTTATATGAAAGCATTATGCAAGCAGGATCAGGAAAGGTATGGTATCGAGAGGAGCTGGCAAAGTATCAACACAGCACCACGGCAAATGTGCAAACATAGTATACAGTGCATATAGTGCTTGGACTGAAAATTGCTCTCACGGATATTTGTTTAATGTAATATGATTATATGTTCAGATACGGAATAATTAGTGTAAATGGAAGAAATTATCAAGACAAAAAGGTGTGCAACTAACAATGAGGAAGGAAACAGAATAAATGAGGAAATAGGTCATTATCATAGATTGTTATTATACAAATTATCATGATCAGCGTCTCTATCTTTATCATCTACCTATGGGTTCCCTCGAGGGAACGGGTTTCTCAATACCACTCTCCACCAAACAATATCTATAGCAAACTCCAAATTAACCATTCTTCCATCTCGAAGCAATCTCTTAATATTATTTGTATTTCATGTTTGGTATGCAATGCATAAGAAAAAGAAAACTAAGAATTGGTTGTACATTTAATTGATAGGGAACATATTCATCATCACAACTACTACTACTATTATTATTATTTTGTATAAATGTTTTCATGCATGCTGCATTTCCTTGTTGCAAATTGAAATCTAAAAGCATCAAGTATGTGTCAAGTAACTACATGCATCAAAATCTGTAACACATGAACTGGCCTAGAAAGGATCACTTGGGGACAAGCCTCTATGCTGTATGTCTTTCTGTTCAGTGTAGTTCTTCCATCTTGCAACAACATAATAAACTAGATGAACTTCGACTGCGCACAGTCGAAAATGATGCCTCCGTCATAGAGCAATTTAACAAACCAAAACAGAAGAAATTTTTCAAATTCAAGTTCAATTGTAATCCATTAACAGGTTCTCAGAGTATCGTGATTACTCATATTATACAATATGACCCTTTGATCTTTGACCTCATGACCCTAAAATCTACTCAGTTCATTGGCTCTGCAAGATGTCCTGAGTAAAATAGTAATCCATCTGTCAGTTCTAATGAGAATGCGTTAAAAAGCTATTTTTGGATACATAATGAGCCCATGACCTTTGACCTTATGAACCAAGAATTTACTCAGTTCATTGGCTCTGGAAGATACATAAATAATCTAAGTCTGGCAGGAATCCATCAATCTGTTCTAATGATAATACGATCACAAGCTAATTTTGCATACATAATGAGCCTCATGACCTTTGACCTTGACCCCAAAATCTTATCAGTTCATTGGCTCTGCAAGTAACATACATGACCTAAGTTTGGCAGGAATCCATCAATCGCTTCTTCAGATAACGCGATCACGAGCTGTTTTTGCATACATAATGAGCCCTGAGACCTTTGACCTCGTGACCCCAAAATCTAATCAGTTCATTGGCTCTGCAAGATACATACATGACCAAAGTTTGGCAGGAATCCATGAATTGCTTCTTCAGATAATGCGATCACAAGCTGTTTTTACATACATAATGAGCCCTGTGACCTTTGACCTTGTGACCCCAAAATCTAATCAGTTCATCGGCTCTGCAAGATACATATATGACCAAAGTTTGGCAGGAATCCATCAATTAGTTCTTCAGATAACGCGATCACGAGAACGGACATACGGACGGACGGACGGACAACCCGAAAACATAATGCCTCCGGCTACTTCGTAACGGAGGCATAAAAACTTACAATAACACAATGAATCCATTTACCCAGTTTAGCCACATCAACATTACTACTGCTCTTCCTGGAGGCCCTGCAGATATAATGTGTTATTGCAATGAAGATCTTATATGCAGGGGCGTCGCTAGACCTTTTTCAGTGGGGGGGTGTAGAGGCCAACGATTACCGACAAAACTAGCCACCAATTACCGACAAAATTAAATTTCCAATATCTACAAATTCAACCCTACAAACCTGGGGCCGAAGGCTAAATTGTTTTTCCTATGGACTATTTATAGTACTTGCATATGCGCAAAATGGTCATTTTCCTCAAAGACATAAATATACGAATTATTTCTTCAATTTAGTCAGCATCATAGCTATACATTTTAATGCAGGCGCGGAGCTAGGATCTTATTTTGAGGGAGGGGCGGTAGTGATCAAGAGAATCACTTAAAAGCGCGCTCATTAGGGGGGTGTGGGTGATGGGCCTCCCGCGCGAAGCGCGGAAGCTTAGACGTTTCCTAAAATTATTAGGAAAAGAAGACGATTAATTGTACCGTTTTCGACTGGTAATCCTTGGTTGAATGAAGTCCCCCCCCCCCTCCCGCGCAAAGCGCGAAAGCTTTGACGTTTTATTAAATTATTATAAAAAAAGAAGACGATTTGCTGTACCGTTCTCGACTGTTTATCCTTTTCTGAATTCAGTATCCCCCCCTCCCGAGCAAAGCGCGGAAGCTTTGACATTTCATTAAATCATGAGAAAAAGCAGACGATTCGGTGTACTATTCTCGACTCTTAATCCTTATCTGAATGAAGCTTCCCCCTCCCGCGCGAAGCGCGAAAGTTTTGACGTTTCATTAAATTATTAGAGAAAGAAGACGATTCGTCGTACCGTTTTTGACTCTTAATAAGCCCTATTTATCTGAATTCAGTTTCCCCCTGTCGTGCAAAGCGCGAAAGCTTTGACGTTTCCTCATATCATTAGAGAAAGGACACGATTCGTTGTACCGTTTTCGACTCTATATAAGCCCTATTAATTTTGTCTGAATTCAGTTTCCCCCTCTCGCGCGAAGCGCGGAAGCTTTGACGTTTCCTTAAATTATTAGAGAAAGAACACGATTCGTTGTATCGTTTTCGACTCTAAATGAGCCCTATTAATTTTTGTCTGAATCCAGTTTCCCCCTCTCGCGCGAAGCGCGGAAGCCTTGACGTTTCCTTAAATTATTAGAGAAAGAACACGATTCATTGTACCGTTCTCGACTCTTATTAAGCCCTATTCATCTGAATCAATTTCCCCCACTCGCGCGAAGCGCGAAAGCTTTGACGTGTCCTTATATCATTAGAGAAAGGACACGATTCGTTGTACCGTTTTCGACTCTAAATAAGCTCTATTAATTTTGTCTGAATTCAGTTTCCCCCTCTCGCGCGAAGCGCGAAAGCTTTGACGTTTCCTCATATCATTAGAGAAAGGACACGATTCGTTGTACCGTTTTCGACTCTAAATAAGCCCTATTAATTTTGTCTGAATTCAGTTTCCCCCTCTCGCGCGAAGCGCGGAAGCTTTGACGATTCCTTAAATTATTAGAGAAAGAACACGATTCGTACTACTGCTTTTGACTCTAAATAAGCCCTATTGATTTTGTCTGAATCCAGTTTCCCCCTCTCGCGCGAAGCGCGGAAGCTTTGACGTTTCCTTAAATCTTTAGAGAAAGAAGACGATTCGTCGTACCGTTCTCGACTCGTCTAGATGAAGTTTTCCCCTTCCGCGCGAAGCGCGGAATTTATGGCGTTTCATCACAATATAGAGAAAGGAAGACGATTCCTCGTACCGTTTTCGAATCTTATTAAGCCCTCTTCATCTGAATTCAGTTAACCCCTCTCGCGCGAAGCGCGAAAGCTTTGACGTTTCCTCAAATTATTAGAGAAAGAACACGAATCGTTGTACCGTTTTCGACTCTAAATAAGCCCTATTAATTTTGTCTGAATTCAGTTTCCCCCTCTCGCACGAAGCGCGGAAGCTTTGACGTTTCCTTAAATCATAAGAGAGAGAAGACGATTCGTCGTACCGTTCTCGACTCGTCGAGATGAAGTTTTTCTCTTTTGGCGTTTCATCACAATATAGAGAAAGGAAGACGATTTCTCGTACCGTCTTCGAATCTTATTAAGCCCTATTCATCTGAATTCAGTTTCCCCCTTTGACGTTTCCTCAAATTATTAGAGAAAGAACACGATTCGTTGTACCGTTTTCGACTTTTAGTAAGCCCTATTTGTCTGAATTCAGTTTCCCACTTTCGCGCGAAGCGCGAAAGCTTTGACATTTCCTTACATTATTAGAGAAAGAAGACGATTCGTTGTACCGTTGTCGACTCGTCTAAATGAAGTTTCCCCTTCCGCGCGAAGCGCGGAATTTTTGGCGTTTCATCACAATATAAAGAAAGGAAGACGATTTGTCGTACCGTTGTTGACTCTTAAACCTTGTTTAAATTTAGTTTCCCCGAAAATTTTAAACCTCTGATTTCTTTAGCTGATATTATAGGAAAGTGAAACTTTGAGAAAATACAAGTATTGTAGTTGTAGTCACTCTCGAAGTCGTCACAGCGGATAAGAAGTCACAGTTCGTAGGGAAAAAAACTTGTCGGCCGACCGACAATATACATCTCACCGACTTCAAACTTCTGCATTGATAAATTATAGTACACGAGGATCGAGCAAGAATACCGACACAGCTGACCCGACACAGCAACATATTTACCCGTGTCTTTCTTGCTCCTTCGACGAGACGACTCCACCTAACATCCACCTTCTCTCTTTTACTCCCACTCCTCCACTCTCAGACTCTTACCTCCCCTCTCTCTCCTCTTTTTCATTCCCCATTTCTTTTGTTTCCCTTTCACTCTTTTTTCTTCTTTTTTTCCTTTTCTTTCTTTTCTTTCTTTTCCTTTCTTTCCTCTCCTCCCTCTTTTCTTTTTTTCTCTTTCTTTCTTCTCTTTTCTTTCCTTTTTTTCCTTTCTTTCCTTTCTTTTCCTCTCTTTCTTTTCTTTTCCTTTTTTTTTTTCTTTTCTTTCCCTTTCCCTCTCTTTTTCCCCTCTCTTTTTTTCCCTCTCTTTTTTTCCCCTCTCTTTTTTTCCCTCTCTTTTTTTTCCTCTCTTTTTTCCCCTCCCCCTTTTCTCTTTTTTCCCGACGGCAGCGCAATTTTACCGACAATATCCTGACAGGTGGGGGGGTGTCGCACCCCCCCCCACACCCCCCCTTTGGCGACGCCCCTGCTTATATGGTCCAACAAGCTGGGTGCCCCACACAGACTGGGACCACTTTCAATATCTTTATTAACTTTGGTCACCTAGTTCTAGGTCCCGTTGGCTGTTGAGCCCTGTTACCATGGTAGTTGCCATTGATGGCAAAGTTACCATCAATGGTAAGTTCTATGCAGCGGGGCCCAGATGTACAATCCAGAAGTTTTTGTTTGTTATCTTAATGCAGGTCTGAACTCCTGGAATCACCGTGGCAGCGGGATTCTTTCACTTGTCCTCCTCATAACTTACCTCTCTCTCATTCTCTATGACGCTGGCTATTATGCAAGCATCTATTGGGGCAAGAAGGAAGACCTCATCCGATACATCAGCTACATGGCATACCTCGTCTTTGCGGCAAGCGTCCCAGCAATCTGTCTCTTCGGCCTCCTTCGAAATGCTGTGACAAACCCTGCTCCACGTTTCACCCAGTGGCCGCGCGTCCTGGACATCAGATACGTGGTGCGTAGACTGCAGTATCTGGACCTTGCTGACCACGGGCTTCCTTGCAAGCCTTTCCTGGTGGCCTGCACGGTGTTCCCGCTCTTCATCGCCTTCTACAAATTCATGTTCTACACTGTCCTTCTGAAAGACAGCATATATGTTCATTTACACAGCTATTTGGCATGCATAATAGCTGCCATTGGTCTCACATTCTATGGTGTCTTCTCCTATTTCATATACCTCATGAGGATCTCGTTTGACTCTCATCTTAAACTTGACATTGAATTCATACGGAACCACGTTGGTCAGCTGGATGTTTGCCGGTCAAAGATGTCATCGACCGTGCAGGACTTCCTCAATCTGCGACAGCTGGCCAACGGATGGATGGTTATGGTGTTTGGGGTCATTACATGGGCACTTGCAACACAGGTAAGAAATGCACGACATTCAAGCAAACTTTGTAATATACTATTTATATTCAATAATATATATTTTTATGTCTATTCTGCAACTTGTTCTTCCAAGTCATTGATCTTATGAGCCACCAGTGATAAAACAAGCTTTTTAAAATAACAAAGGGACCTTACAGCAGCATAAAGGAGTGCCAAGTTGCATATGCTTGATGCAAAAACTGCATCCTTGTGGTAAAGCTGCTACCATTGGTTTAGGTGAATGCACCTCTAAAGGTTTGATACTGCACACTGAGACTTTGTCTCGGCTCCCCTTCTTCCTGATAGTATCGTTATCATGAGATGTCTAGTTAGTAAGCTCTTAATGAAATGGTTTAGGAAGATAAGAGACATCTCTGTAGCTGGTACATAAAAATATGCCGGTCTTGTCGCTGGTTTTGAGAAACGGGACCCTGTTCCATTTTAGTAAGTATTCCTGTGAAGAAAACGGCTAAATGTTTGTATTCCAGGTCAATTGATGTGGGTCAAATACCCTCACTTAACATTAATCTTAAAAGTCATTATTTTCAATTCCTTTTCAGCCAATACTGTTACTGTTACGTCCATTCCCTTTCAAAACAGATAACATGGAACTACATGTTGTTCAGTGGCCTCTACTTGGGTCACGGCGGCTCTTTCTCCACGCATTCTTGGACCATCCAGATGTACATCAACGGCCTCATGGCGATGGAGAATGCCATGTTTTTCTTCTTCCCGTGCTTTGCCATCGGTGGCTTCAACATCAACATCGTCTGGATCCACTTCCATTACCGCCTGCTGGAGCTTCGGCGCGCCCGTCACGAGCGTTTCTGGTACCGCCTGCTGCAGTTCCTCAAGGAGCATGACCCCGTCAAAAGCTCCATGCGTGTCACCATGCTCTTCACCCTCATAAGTCTCTTCGTGGCACTCCAGTTTGGTGATCAGAACATCTATTACTTTTACAACAACATTACCGCCTCTGATATCGGACCTGATCACCCCGCCGGCATCTCCGCCGCTCAGGATGAAAGTGGAAACTTTCCACCTTTGATTCTACACTAAACTTTCATCAGCTAAATAACTCATATTATTCACTGTGCATTTCTGGTTATATGCGACCCATATCATTTGCCGTAGTTGTAACGCTGCACTGCAGCACAACCTTTGACACATACATTCACAAGCAGACGACCTGGGCCATCACGACGACTAACTTTCGGAATTGCTTGATTCAGATGTTATATAAAACAAATAATGAATGTTTTTTATTTGATCAAAAGTGTGAATATTTTCATTCGTTCAATAGTGCGAAAATGTTCATTCTTTGAGAGATTAACGTTCTATTAAACTCATAAACATTCATTATTTGTATACTATTCAGTGATAAAAACCTAGAGAATCATAACACATGCATGCAAAGATGAGGCTTTCACATTTGTATAATTTAATAACAAAGTCAAAAGAAGAATATATTTACAAAAATAATACATGTACTAATTATGAACATTAAATTAAAAATTGTTAATTTGTGAACAAGTTAAGATTATCAATTAACACTGTCTAATATTCAGCCACTAAATGTACAAAGACCATGGCATATTGCACTGTATATTCAATAGGCCTTTGGCTGCTCTGAAGTGTGAGATGAGACTCAAATTCATTATTTCTTTTTGGATTGTTGTTCTACTTTAAAGGTACTATGTCCCATTTGCAGGTCAAAAAAATGAAAAAGTTAAATTCCAACTGCATTTGAAAGATAATACTTATTTAGAACTTCCCTAAAAAAGGTGGGGCTTGAAAATGTCTTCAAGTGGGAAAATAATGACTATTAGTTGTAAAGTAATAGGCTTGATTTTCAGACAATTGTACCGAATGGTCATACGTTTTATGCTGCGCAAAGATTCAATCAGTTTAATCTTGGCCATCACAAGAAGTGGGTTATTGATGTAGACAAATGCTCATGTACCCTTTACAACTCTTTTCATGTATGTTATTACCAAAGAAGAAAAAAAGCCAGTCAGTCACTCAATAGTGTCTGACAGTGAAGTCTAGCAAGTAAACGGGTTTCCTTGCATAATTTGAATATAAGGACACTGCTATCGTTTAAATTTCACAGATAGGACATACATGACATATTCATAATTCCTGCAAAGTTCTACAGAATTTGAGGTTGGTTGCAAAAGGGACATAGTACCTTTTGGCAATAGTCCAAAAATTCTAAATGAATTTTGATGGTTGAAATGTAGGCCTAATAGTCACATTTCTTTCAACTTGTTTTTGTTTGCAAGCAATATTTAGATGTTATCATTATACGTGTATAGTTCCTTTTATTTGTATTTATATATATTTCTAGAATATTGTGTTTATTTTGTATTGTATGATGTTTGTAATGTTTTAAATTCTGTAAATTCATTTGATTTGTAATTTAGCCTTTGGCAACATTGAGTGAATAAAATATCTGGAATTGAATCGAAATAGCTTTTCATGAGTTATGGCTATACTAGACAAGGCTCCACTATCAGTTTTATGGGTGGGTCATCATCATTGTAAAGATAATATTTAGAAAAACAAAAATGTGTCAAATCCGGTATCAAATATTATCAGTTATAGAGGTCGGCCACTTTGGTCTCGTAGAGGGTAGGATCAGTAATGAGCAAAAGGACACAGGGAAATAGCCTATAAGTTTGGTGATGTTTAGAAGGGCACTGCCAGCAGTGGTTTGGTCACCACTGCAAAATGCCATGCAGCCTATTTTATCATTGGAAATATCACACAGTCAAAGCCGAGTCAGTAGGTTTATCATTTTTGTTATGTTTAATTTAAAGTAATGGAATGTACATGTAAATATCATAACCTGTAGTTCAAAGACATCATGTTTAAATAAAGCTAGTACAACTGTCGTTAAAAGTTAGGCAGGGATGTAAATAATATTTATTTGTTAAAAATCTATTAAACATCCCCCTAAATTGTCATCTGTTGCTAACTGGAAAAAGAATTTCGTATAAATTCCAAACAAAACCTTTATTGTATATATTTTTGCACAGAGGAATAACATCTGCCTGCCTGCTATGATTTCGCTTGGAGTGTGAGTTTTTGTGCTGGCTCACCGTCTTGGCATTTCTGCTTGATGAGCAATTGCAGTGTTGGCGAATTTCCTGTACTGCCTGAGATCGCTTGTATCGCTCGTTGGTGGTTTGGTTCGTCAAAGCTAGGTAGACGTGGTAGAACATGAATGCTGCCACCAGGAGGCTGAGAAGTGCCAGTGACATCATGATGAACACAGGCATGGGTCTTTCCATAAAGAGATGCTGTTGAAATATCCACACATAAATAAAATATAAAGAAGCTGAAAAGCTTACAAACAGGCATATCCCAAGTCTATCCCTTTTACTTGGAGAAGGATTGTTTTTAAAGCCTATCTTTTCTAGTTTGGCCAGGAGGGATTAGCCCTTCCTGCATGGTCACTGACAGGTGGTTATCGCATCAAATCAGCTCTCAATTAACATAAGAAAAAGAGGATCATGGGGGATCAACGGTACTGCTTAGGCATTTTAGGCTATATAGAGGGCGCAAGTAGCTACAAGTAGTGCAGTCCTGCTTTAATATGCCACACAAATAATATCCTTGCGCCACATTGCATAAAGGGATAGATATACCAATTATTAAGTGCATGTTTCCAGGGCAAAACTAATCTATACAGGTTTTAAAAGGATTGTCATATGGCTAATGTGCAAAATTAGGGGGGGGGGGCACTAATTTTTTTTTCTTTTCATTTTGCCCCCTGACATTTCAAACAAGCGCCAACAAATATTTTGTTTTTTGAGGGGAGGGGGGGGGGGGGGGTAGAAAGCACTATCAAAAAATCTACTAAATCATTTTGCCCCCGACATTAATTTTTTTTTTTTTTTTTTGGGGGGGGGGGGATTTAAACCCCTCCCCCCCCCCCCCCCCCCCCCCCCCCCCCACCGTAGATCCACCCCTGGAAAGACAAGCTTTTCTTAGATCTAAGGTATCACATGTAAAAATGTCATGGTTAAATTTGAGTGGTTAAAACTGCCTGTAGCACTGAAAAGTTTAGATCATAGTCATTAATTAGGGCATACAGTTATGCAGTAATAGCTATAAAGATGTCACTGTAGCTGCCCTCTTGTGCCCACTAGGTATGTCTTCATTAGCTCGAGATTGCCAAATAGCCTGCTATTTCTGATTTGGAAATAATCCGGAAGTTAAAAATCACGTCCTCATCAGCTCGGGACTCGACCTTGAAACTTGAAACTCAAGCTCAGAAAATTAGCTTGAGATATTCGCACTAGTGCGAGTTTTCGGGCTGGTGAAGACGCATCGGACAAATAGCAGGATATTTTGCAAACTAGCCCAAGATATCTTGGGATGATTATCTCGACCAAATATCCCCCTCATTGCAACTGCGGGCTGGTTAATTTGTGATCGGGATAGTTAAAATAGCGGGTTATTTGGTTATTATCTCAAAGCTGATTGAAGACATACCCACTGTAGTTGCATTCTTGTGTCTACTGAGCTACAGAGCAGGGAACTCACCTGTGCTGCAACTCTCAAGGTGACTGGCCAGAGCTTCCCATCAGGTCCGACATAGCTGGCCTCCAGCAAACCAGACACCTGGGCAAACAGGCTCAGGGTAGATAGGATGCTGTAAGAAACGAAACCCGTCCCCAAACACAGAGACGTGACGAGAGCAAGAAAGTAGCGGTGGTTGAATCCCCCAATGCAGTTGTTTAGCCACGTGCAGTGGTGATCAAAGCGGTACACACAGTGGTTGCATGTTCCTGAAAGATATGCAAATATGACCATATATGAGTACATAAATATATGTGTATATATATATGTGGAGCCCCACAGAATACCCCCCCCCCTATTTTTTGTATATCTTTGACTATGTATGTATGACACAAGTATATTTCTAGCCCCCATTTAGTCCCTCCTCTTAGTTAATTAGGTACCCCCTCCTGCGAGAGTGGCCTCACCCACAACTAACCTAAACACACCAGCTGGGATACCAGGAGTGGCTTCTCACTTTGTTTTGCCATGCATCCTAGTCAACACCTTTCTTATTTTGTCTTCCTTTCATAGGTAAGAAAGAATCTCTTATTATTCAATTGTGTTATATTCTTGTTCTTCATAATATGTGTATTTCTAAACTATTATAACTTCACTATTCATATATCTTGTATTACTGTATAAAAAGAGATATTAATGGTCTTTGGCTATGAGATGTTGGATTATATGACATGTGGACTATGGGTGGAAATATAAGAAATGCCATGTGGGAAGAGATGCCATGTGGGGAGAGATAATGTCATTGATGAACATAGTAATCACTTGTAGAAATGATAGGAAACTATTACTGTGTGTATGTGAGATTGATGATTATGTTGTTTGACTTAGACAACATTTTAAGTAAGTTTTGAGAAGAGAATATACTTTATTACTGTCAGTATATTTGTCTTTTGCTCGATATTCATGTGTATGTATATATATATTCTTAGCCAAGGACATGTGCCATTTACTATGCATTATGCCAAAGCACATTGTTATATATTATAGTTTGGTTAGATACAGTTTTGATAGCGAAATGAGTGGTTCAAGTCCAGATTATCTTTAACTTACAGTATTATGGTATGAGTGAGTGTGTACGCACCATGTGTACAATACTAGTGTGTTATTAGGATATGGCAGTGCGTTCAATGTGAACACAACTTCTTATCAGAGTTCTTAATCCCCTCTCCCCCCAAGCTTGACCATCCACTGCAATGCATTACACGCACACAGTGTAGATAGAGTATATGCTATACCCAAATGCTATGTTGAGAAGTGTTAGAGATAGAATGTGTTTGTTTTTGACCCATGCTGGAAAATGGTATCTTAAGCGGGAATGAAAGTTTGGTAGAGTCAGCAAAATGAGAAGACAAAGGATTTGAGTTGGGGAATACACTTGTTGAGAAACACATGGTCAAATTGTCTAATAGTTAGCTAGTGATGGATGGGTTGATGAAATATTGTAGTATGAAGACTTGCATAATCACTGTCTGGAATTCATTGTATTATATTGTTAGGAATGATAATTCAGGTTAAATGTTATTGGGAATTACTCTCTATCTCTCCCTCTCTCTCTCTCTCCCCCTCTCTCTTTATATTCTCTCCCTCTCTCCCTCTCTTTCTCTCTCTCTCTCTCTCGGTATGGTTCACCCTTTCTCTTTCACTCTCACTTTGCTTTGTATATAACCATGAAATGAATATACATGTATTTAGTAAAACTATTGGTTGTTGTTTAGAATTAGAATATGAACTGTATGTGAAGATGAGATTATACAATACGAGGAATTCGTAATATTGGTTGTAAGTTTGTTAGAGCTATTAGTACAGACTGCAGACTAAGACTATTTGCCAGTGCTGTGAATATTGAAAGGAGTTATAAGTTGTTGAATGTATCTTTTCAAGCTCAGTAGTCTCGCTGAAAAGGCAGTATTAGATCAAAGTGATGCAGATGCCTATTGGAAAATACATGAGCTAGTTAAGAAAGAGTTATGAGTTTATTCAGTATTAATGTAAATGCCTGAGACAAGAAAGTAACTTGTGAATTTAGGGATTAGTGGAGACTGAGAGTAGAATTACATTCTAAGGGTCTATGTGCACAAGGGATCCTCAGTCTTGGAGCGTAAAGAGTAGAAAGCTTATTAGGCAATAGTATAGGGA